AGCAGTTGATCAGGACAAACTGCCCCGACCCTGCCCGCTGGGAAGAATCGCTCGCCATGTTGGAGTTCGCCTTCAACAACGCACCGTCCAGCACGACTAATCACTACCCGTTTTTCCTGAATTACGGGATGGATACGACGGTTCCTACAGTGACTACTCTCGACAACCCGGTCCCGAGGTCACAAACCTTTGTGACGGAACTTCAGGAAGTCCATGAAAAAGCAGCAGATGCAATTCGCGAGGCGAATATTACTTCCCGAAAATACACCGACCTTCTCCGACGGGAACTCGTCTTGACAGCTAGGCAACTAGTGCTCCTCGACACGAAGTACCTGCACTTGCCCGGCCCGTCGAAACTACGGCCACGATTTTGTGGACCCTTCAAGATTATCAAGATGGTGACACTTGTCACCGCGAAGCTGTTGCTACCCGACGACTAGCGCATTCATGACGCCTTCCACGTCAGCCTTCTTCGAAAGTTCATGCCAGCCACGACCGACATCGCGATGCAACAAGCTTCCCCAACTGCACGACCTGTCCCAGAGCCAACTCTTGTCCCTTCGAAGATTCTGGCACATCGGGTTCGCCTTGACGCAGCTGGACGCCACGTGGATTTCCTCATCCGTTGGACTGGTCGCACCAATGAAGACGACACGTGTGTGCACTCCGACTCGCTGGACGCCTCGTCAGTTGTTCGTGATTATTTGGCGCGCATGCGTGTTTCGGAAATTGACCGCCTTTCTTTAAGGGGGAGGTAATGTAAGGATTTTTTTCGAATTCCTTATCGGGGTTGACTGCTTCGCGTACAGCCCGATTTTCGGACTTTGCACGTTCGGCCGATTTCAACGCTGCCGAGGCTCCTCGCGTTGCCTTCGGCATTTTCCCATCACCAAACCTGCACCCAACATCGCTCGTCCGAGGTTCCCTCCTAGCTAGGCTAGTCCCTACATTAGTATGTGCCTTCGTTGTATTCTCAGATCATTCAATCACGGTTTAAGGAAAATTCCTTTTCCTTACTTCGCGTCCCCGCTCAGCGCGTACACCACTGTAGCACCACAGTCAGGACCGCTACCACTCGCAAAACCCTCGCATCGACAATCCTCCCGCCACCTTTGCACGTCGCACCCCGACCTCACGGCTCGGCGGGTAACCCGCGCTCCGGGTCTCCGCTTCGACATTTTCCCAAACCTCAGTCCCAGGCCCGTCGCACGACAACCACAGTCCATTACCGTTACCACTGTAGTTTCGCTATGTAATCTTCGCTCATGCCTTCGCTCATTGTACTCTTGCTTAGATAGTGCAATTCTCGCTCGCTCATTCAATTGCACTCGTAACACACAGTCTCATAACAGCACGCCTCAATTTCGGGACGCCACTCATTGCGGTCTTCGCAAGCCGCATCGTGCTGCGATCGGGTAACAAAGCTTACCTCGTGCCCACCTCGCCATCGCACACCGCCCCCTCTTGTCTCACCCGTCGCGTTTGCTGCTTACACGTTTACTCCGCTTACCTTCTTGACTTCGCGATGGCGGGAGAATCCGCGTCTTTCGTCGTCCCGCCTCCTCCGCACGACGATGGCGGCGATAGCAGAGCAGCGCGCGCCGCGCCGGAAGCTACCGCTCCCGCTCCCCAGGCATCGGGAGCGCCAGGTGCATCTGGAGCGCCAGGTGCATCTGGAGCGCCCGACGCGCAAGCGTCGACTGAGTCATCAGAAGCGGCGGCAGAAGCGGCGGAGGACGCGGCGTTGGAAGCGGCGGTGGCGGCGCTGCCGTCGCTGCTGTTGACGCCGGAGCTGGCGGAGGCGGTGGATCATCCGGACATGGCGGCGATGCGCAGCCTCATGGAGGAGACGCCCGAGGAGGAGGTCACGTGGCTGAGGGTGAGTGGTGGGCTGGAGTCGGGGGGTGCGCATGCCCCGTGGCGTAGCGCGTGCGCGGTATCGTGTGTGCGTGCGGGATAATACAGCTGGTTGCGCGGGTAGGCGCGGGCTGAGAGGCGCACGGCCGATTTTCATCCTCCCGCTGCTGTCCTCCTCCACTCGCCCCCCTCTCCTTTCGACCTCTCCTGTCCTCCTCCGCCTGCTCCTTCCCGGCATCCGCTGCTTCCGCTCCCCCATCCCCCTCCCCTTCTCCCCATCGTACAGGTGCGCGCAGCGCTCGACAGCGCGGAGAGCAGGCGAAGACAGCGCGCGCGCGCTCTGGCTCGAGACGCGCGCATCCCCCTGTTACGCCTCCTCCCGCACGCCCTTCATAACTCATACTACACCCCCGCGCATCCCCGCGCGCACGTGCGCAGGAGCAAGGCAACATCGCGCTGAAGGAGGGGCAGGTGCTGGGGCGCAAGGGGCAGCGCAAGCAGCAGCGACAAGCGTACCTCAAGGCGCTGGACCTCTACTCGCAGGCGCTCTCCGTGCGCGACGCGCACCCGCGCGCAGACATCCCCGCCTCCGCGGTGGCGGTGCTGCGCGGCAACCGCGCGCAGGCGCACCTGCTGCTGGGGAACTATGGGCACGCGCTCGCGGACGCCGCCGCGTCCAGCCGCCTCGACCGCTCCAACGCCAAGGTGGGGGGAAGGGGGGCGGGGGTGCGGGGGGGCGAAGGGGCGGAGGGCTGAGGGCGGACGGCGGGAGGGGAGGAGGACGGAGGGCGGGTAATCAGGCGAGGGGGAAGGAGGCACTCGTTGTCATACTTGATGCCATCCATCATTGCCCACCATTACCAGATATTTTCGATAGAAGTTTTCTCTTGCTGCTTCGCTGGGTTCATCACGGGACTCTCCGCCCCTCCCCACCCGCCCTCCTGCATGCCTATCTTTTATCACCCCATTTCCACTCACCCCAGCCCCTCTACTCACAGCCAGTGGGGCATGTGGAAGAAGCGGGGCGGGGGTCTGCACCCCTGGCGCTCACCCCCTTTCAACCACGCACACCTCGTTGTTGCTTGCCTCCATGAGCGGGACTAGAAACGCATGCCACCTCTCTCTCGCCCTCGCCTGCCATCGTGCCGCATTCGATGCCACGATCCATCCTTGCTGTGACTCCTCCTTGCACACCAGCGTTGGACGGCGTGCTCCCCCATGTATCCCATCACCCCTGCGCTCACCTACCTGCACTTCCCTCTCCCACTTCTTCACAACCTGCACCACCCTCTCCCCACCTTCCCCTACCTTCCCTGCACATCCCGCCCCTTGCCACCTGTGCCACCCCCCTGCCAGGCGCCCTTCAGAGCGGCAAAGGCGTGCCTGGCATTGAAGCGCTATGCAGAGGCCATCACGTGGTGCGACGCTGCTCTAGCGCTGCCCAATGCCGCCCCGGCAGACCTGCTCAAGCTGCGCAGCGACGCAGAGAGCAAGCTGGCGGTGCTGCAGGCCGCAGCTGCGCGCAGCACCGCCATCCGCAGCAAGGCGGAGCGCCTCGCCGCGTGCATCACACAGCGCGGCGTGCGCATGGGGCGCAACGCGTACAAGGCTCTCAGCGGCGCGCGCAAGCCGTGGGTGGACGAGACAGGGGCAGTGCACTGGCCGGTAGTGGTGGTATACCCTGAAGTCATGGGGAGCGATTTGATCGAGGACGCGTGTGAGACGGACACGCTGGGAGCGCACGTGCGGGAGATGTTTGGCGCGCACACGCCGCCACTGGAGTGGGACTCAGCGGGCGCGTACAGCGCGGACGCCGTGCAGCTGTTCCTGCGCACCAGCGCCGTGCCTGCTGTTGCCAGCGCTGCCCTGCCACGCGCCCTGCTGGAGGACGCTGCCGGGCTGACGGACGAGGATAACCACGCCATGGCGGGCGCAGGCGAGGACGATGGGGATGACGGGCCTGATTGGTCGGGTGAGTGGAAGGCGAGGGGGCTCGGCCTTGCCATTCATGTGGTCCATCACTCACTATCCACTCAGAATTCCATCACTCTCCATCAGAATTCCTCCAGCCTGTGGTCCTTTCCTCTTCCATCTCTGCCGCTGAACCCTCCTCTCCCATTTTGTATTTCCATCTCTATGCCTCCCTTCCCTCTGAATCCCCTCTCCTTCTCTCTCCTTTTCATTCTCACTCTTCATGTTGGCTCTCATTTGCTCGCCACACCCCCACTCTCACCCACATGTGCTACCGTTGCAGCATCTGGCGAGCAGCAGTGGGTGCAAGTGCCTCTCGACCAGCCCCTCGCGAAAGTGCTCACAGTACCCAATCATATCGTTCCAGGTGTCCCTGGTGAGTCGTAGTTCTGCCTTTCATGTGTTGCACGAGTGCTTACTTGCCTCCTCGCCTGATGTTGCCCACTGACAAGTCCTCGTGCATATCTCGTGCCATTCATCTTTCATGTGAAGTTTTCACGGTCGTTGGTACTGCTCCCATCATAAGGTACTCAAACTTGGAGGACTTTGATTGAACTCATGTTTGTCATTTCAACAGTATGTTCCTCGTTTCCTTTGTCCACACTCCGAACCCCCGATTCCGCTCCCCGCTCCCCTCCCCTCGCCCCTCTCTCCCTACACATTATGCTGTGCCAACCGCATGCTTCAGTTTTTTATGCGGTGTCAGCAAGAAGCCCCTTCTATGGCACTTTCACATCAGGCAAATGGGTTCCACCTTAGCAAAGCGGTATGCAGATTGATAATACGCATCACAATGTTTTTGCAATAAGATTCTGTTCAGAGTCTTGGATCATGCATAACAGAATTCGGTTGCATTTGTCGGACTGTTTCATATGTGTTTTGTTTTCCTATACCATGATGCAATTAGGAGGTTGACTCAGATTTTGGTTGTAGTATAAAACCATCAAAATTACGGATTCTTTGGAAGTTCCAGCTCTCAATCCTGCAGACTAATCAGTGTACAGTACAATGCTCCACCGCAACTCTAAAATGCAAAATGAAAACTGTACGCAATAAGAACATCACACACGAGCCTGCCTTTCAACCAACTCCTGTAGTGGCCACACGAATGTACACTTTCACATCTCGTGCTCTAAGTCAAGAGCACGAACTTCAATAACGAAGCTTTTCCTTCAAGCAACTGGGATCTCTACGGCCGAGGGGCCAGCCTCTGGCGGAGTTTCCTTGGCCATGGTGACGGTGAGCACGCCGTTCTTCATCTCCGCCTTGATCTGATCCGTCAGAACGTTGTCTGGAAGAGCCAGAGTGGTCTGCAAACCAAGAACAATACAGATTTGAAACCAGATGCGAGTGAAACGACGGTTCAGAAGATCAAAACATTGAACTGATGATGACGTTCCTATTCGTAAATGCATACCAAATGATTGTCCTGCAAATTGATCACGACGGACGTGATAGCAACGTGAAGATGCGCCTCACCTGGTATGACTTAGCGATGCGCGCATCCCAGAGTCCCTCTCCCTCCTCCCCGCGGCCCTTCTCCTCCGCCTTGTGCTCTCCGCGAATCACCAGATTGCCATTCTCCAGCTTCACCGACACCTCCTCTTTGGACAGACCTGCATGCGTCATCACCAAAAACGCCGGCAGAGAAAATTTATAATGAACTTGTTGTTTGCCGGCGCGAATCAGCAGGAGGCAAAAAAAAAAAAAAAAAAAAAAAAAAAAAAATCGGGTTTGAGACCAGAGGCAGCGCAAGCGGCGCACCGGGCATGTCGAGGCGCATGTGGAAGGCGTCGTCCGTCTCGCGCACGTCCCACGGCGTCCTCACCGCCACACCCGGGCGCGTGGCAGCGCTGCTGGTGGCGAGCGGCGAGATGGCGCGGAAGAGAGAGGGGAAGCGCGGCATGGGAGGCAGGAGCGCGTCGTCGAACATGCGATCCACGGAGTCGAGCAGCTGCGTCAGCGAGCGGTTCGTCGGGAATAACGGGTCGAATAGGTCTGCCAGGCATACGGGCGACGACGAGAAACGTTACCGTCGTCGTCCTTGAAGATCAGCCGCACTCGGATGAAAAAACTTTATAAGACAGGAATTTGCAGTGGAAATGGAGATTCCGGATGTCATCGCGAATGCGTTCCATTCTCGCACTTCATACTACCTGAAAAGGCTCCAAGTGGAGCAACGGCACGGGATGATAGGTCCCTCTGTCCCCTCCTCTCTGTTGCCATGGGCATCGCCTCGTGCTGCACCATCTGCTTCTCATCCTGCGACTGCTGCTGCTGCTGCTGCTGCTGCTGCTGAGGCTTCTCCCCCGATGCGAAGATAGTGCGGAACCCTGAGACGCATCGAGGGGCCTTCAAAATGTCTGCGTCGGGAAGTGGAAGGAGTCGATGTTGAATAAGGGTGCATTTTTTCGATGCAAACTTCTATCGGCATGGTGCAAAAAATACCGAATTCATTGTTAAAGAAACACGCATGGCATACCTGGCTTCTTGAGAAGAAGAGGAGTTCGCAGAAGGCGAGGCATGCTGCGAAGCACAAGAGCAGTTGTGGAAGCCATGGTGACAATCGTCCGCAAAGATTCTAGAAGAAAGGGGCTCTCTACTCTCGCGACAATAAAAGAACCCACGGGCGTATTCGTCGTCTCTGGGTGATGAGAGTTGCAGGCTTTGCTGCGTTTATGTGGATGACAAATTCAAGCATCTGCATTGCCTCATATACTTTGTCACCACCACATTGCATGAATGCAGCATGCGATTCCATTCTCACGCGCCTCGTTGCTTCTAGAAGAATTGAGAAAAAGTAGATTGCGTCACAACATTCCTGCTTACGTGGTGCGATCTTTTTTGCCACATGACGCAAATCATTCACATGTCTGCATGATGTGACGCATGTTGTGGCTTTTCCCAAGTCAGATGCGAACACTCGAGAAATATCTCGATCGAGTTGGAGCAACATGTTTGCACCGTCAGACGGTGATGCATCGGTTTGCATGACGATGCTGTGTCAACATAAAATGTATTGCGTGTGTTGTGCGACATTACGTTACATGCTGAGTGCGACAAACATATTAGAGCGTGGAAGGAAGATCCCTGTGAACAAGACATTGGTTGCGCAGTTGCGACAGTAACACATGTTGCGACTCTCGCCATCAAGCATCGTTAGTAGAGTGACGACAAGATTCGACGTTAACGTCGGAAGGGTTGCGTAGTACGCCTTTAGTTTTAATATTTTGACGAGATACGTAGTATTTATTTCAAGCAATACACCCAATTACTTCCTACTTATCAAAACAAAATCAGTGTTTGTTTGTATTGTCGGATCAAGTTATATTAAAATTCTTGTTTTTGTTTTGATTTAGAAATATGTAGCGATTCAGAAACAATGTAATATTATTCCAGCACTAATGTTTGTAAGTAACTTATTATGTATTGCTATATCAGGTTCTTACAATAAGCTGTTTTGAAGATGACTCAAATGCTTGGATGGATATGTGATGTCATTATGCGTCTATTTCACATAACACTAGCTTCCAAATCTAGATGTCTGATTGTTTTTATTTACCCGGTGCCCAAAATTTGACTGGTTTGCAATTTGACCCCTAGTGTTTGTTTTAGACTCGATATAGAAATTTTTCATGCCACTTTTACTGATGGCTTGACTTTTTTGGCAGTTGCCCCAACTTCCAGATTTTGTTCGGCTCCAAGCAGCTTCAATTTGTGGCACCTTGTTGCAACTTCCTCAAACCCCAACCTTCACCTCCCTCCTTGCCTCTCATCCTGCCGTCGCAACCACCACCCATCTAGCCATCCACCTCTCCTCCTGTTTTGTTTTCTCGCCATCGCCTCTCCCTCTCACCGCCGTTGCCTCCTTCTGCCACCCCACCTTCTCCCTCCTGTCCCGCCATCGCCTCCCTCGTAGCCTGCTGTCGTATCCCTCTTAGCCTGCCGTTGCCCCCCCCCCCTCCCATCCCACCGTCGCCTCCCCCGCTCATCCCGCCGTCGCCACTGACTGCAGCTGCAGGAGCGCGAGCTGGTGGGCGAGCGCGAATCTACCTCTGATGCGCCGTGATTCTCAGGTACGTTGTCCTTTCCCGGTCCATTTCTCCTCCTCTTCGAAAAAATAATTTACTTTCGTACATTTTTTCATAAGTTCTCTGGAGAGAGAGGGAGAGAGGGCGAGCGAGGATAGAGTTCGCGCGGGAACTAGCACACTGGCGCGTATAGCGTTGGCGCCTAACGCGCTGGCATCTAGCGCACTGGCTGTTTGGGCGCTGGCGCAGTGCGCGCTGGCGCCGTGCACGCTGGCGCCTTGCCCGCTGGCGCCGTGCGCGATGGCGCCGTGCGCGCTGGCGCCGTGCGGGCTGGCGCCGTGCGCGCTGTCGCCTAACGCGCTCGCGCCTAACACGCTGGCGCCTAATGCGCTGGCGCCGTGCGTGCTGGCGCCTTGCGTGCTGGCGCCTAACGCGCTGGCGCCTAATGCGCTGGCGCCTTGCGCGATGGCGCCGTACGCGCTGGCGCCGTGCGCGCTGGCGCCGTGCGAGCTGGCGCCGTGCGCGCTGGCTCCTAACGCGCTGGCTCCTTGCGCGCTGGCGCCTATGCGCGCTGGCGCCGTGCGCGCTGGCGCCTTGCGCGCTGGCACCTTGCGCGCTGGCGCCGTGCACGCTGGCGCTGTGCACGCTGGCGCCTTGCGCGCTGGCGCCTTGCGCGCTGGCGCCGTGCGCGATGGCGCCGTGCGCGCTGGCGCCGTGCGCGATGGCGCCGTGCGCGCTGGCGCCGTGCGCGCTGGCGCCGTGCACGCTGGCGCCTTGCGCGATGGTGCTGGCGCGATGGCGCCGTGCCAAATGTAGGGCAGGTGGGGGAGCGCGTGAGAGAGCGCGTGAGAGGGCAGGGGAGGAAGCGCATGAGGCCGCATGGTGAGGGAGAGCGTGAGAGAGCGCTTGAGCGAGCGCGTGAGAGGGCGCGTGAGAGTGCGTGTGAATGAGCGCGTGAGAATGCGCGTGAGTGAGCGAGCGAGAGAGTGTGTGACAGTGAGTGTGCGCGTGAGAGTGCGCGTGAGAGAGCGCGTGAGAGGGCAGGTGAGGAAGCGCATGAGAGGGCAGGGGAGGGAGCGCGTGAGAGAGCGCATGAGAGAGCGCGTGAGAGGGTGCGTGAGAGGGCACGTGAGAGTGCGCGCGAGTGAGCGCGTGAGAGTGCGCGCGAGTGAGCGCGCGAGAGACGCGTGAGGGAGTGAGTGAGATAGGGCGTGAGAGTGCGTGTGAGAGTGCGCGTGAGAGAGCGCGTGAGGGAGCGCGTGAGAGAGTGCGTGAGAGTCCGTGTGAAAGTGCGCGTGAGAGTGTGCGAGAGAGTGCGTGTGAGAGAGCACGTGAGAGTGCGCGTGAGAGAGTGTGACAGTGCGTGTGCGCGTGAGAGTGCGCATGAGAGGCTGCGTGAGAGGGCAGGTGAGGGAGCGCGTGAGAGGCCGCGTGAGAGGGCAGGTGAGGAAGCGCATGAGAGGCCGCGTGGTGAGGGAGCGCGTGAGAGAGCGCTTGAGAGAGCGCGTGAGAGGGTGCGTGAGAGGGTGCGTGAGAGTGCGCATGAGTGAGCGCGTGAGAGTGCGCGTGAGTGAACGCGCGAGAGACGCGTAAGGGAGCGAGTGAGATAGGGCGTGAGAGTGCGCGTGAGAGTGCGCGTGAGAGTGCGCGTGAGGGAGCGCGTGAAAGAGCGCGTGAGAGTCCGCGTGAAAGTGCGCGTGGGAGTGTGCGAGAGAGTGCGTGTGAGAAAGCGCGTGAGAGAGCGGGTAGGTTTGTGTGTTTGTTTCTGAGAGAGTGTCTAAGAAAGTTGAGAGTCTTTGTGTGTCTGTGTGTGAGCGCGTGAGAGAGCGCGTGAGAGAGCACGTGAGAGGGTGCGTGAGAGGGCACGTGAGAGTGCGCGTGAGTGAGCGCGTGAGAGTGTGCGCGAGTGAGCGCGCGAGAGATGCGTGAGGGAGCGAGTGAGATAGGGCGTGAGAGTGCGCGTGAGAGTGCGCGTGAGGGAGCGCGTGAGAGAGCGCGTGAGAGTCCGCGTGAAAGTGCGCGTGAGAGTGTGCGAGAGAGTGCGTGTGAGAGAGCGCGTGAGAGTGCGCATGAGAGAATGTGTGACAGTGCGTGTGCGCGTGAGAGTGCGCATGAGAGGCTGCGTGAGAGAGCATGTGAGGGAGCGCGTGAGAGGCCGCGTGAGAGGGCAGGTGAGGGAGCGCTTGAGAGGCCGCGTGAGAGGGCAGGAGAGGAAGCGCATGAAAGGCCGCGTGGTGAGGGAGCGCGTGAGAGAGCACTTGAGAGAGCGCGAGGGTGCGTGAGAGGGCGTGTGAGAGTGCGCCTGAGTGGGCGCGTGAGAGTGCGCGTGAGTGAGCGCGTAAAAATGCGCGTGAGTGAGCGCGTGAAAATGCGCGCAGGTGCTGATTGCTGGTGTTGCTCGTAGAAGGACATGAAGGAGAAAAACTTCTCCATCATGCTCTGGTCGAAGTCTTCAGGTTGATTCGCGGAAGTCTCGGTAGATGTTCCTTTGGGTCTTGCTGCCGTGCCCTCCTCTTTCTGTAGGCCAAAGGCAGGAGGTGGAGTAGGAGTAGTTCACTGGGAGCCGTTGGAGTTGCTCCTTTCTTTTTGTGTAGCCATGCTGATTGATACTGTTGATATAGAAGTTGAATTCCCCCTGATAGCTCTCATACCATGTAGGGCTGAAAAAAGGCCCTAGGATCTTTGCAGGGGTGAACTCTGGGTAGAGTTGGTGTAATAGCGGAAGCGTTAATTAAGTGTTGTGAACCACCTTGCGCTAGTATGTGAGAGCAAAGTAAGTTGATTAAAACAAGGAGATACAAGATTATATATGAATACAGGGAATATGAAAAGACACAGTTATAACTACTTTACTGTTGCTGTTGCGGTTCGATACAGTGGCGACTCGGGCAACTACTCTGTAACGAGTTAGTTCTGTGTCCTTGCTGTCGCGCTGCACTTGTCAGGTCAAAGGTCACTGACCTTTGACTTTCGCGTAACCTCCAGCGGCTACTTCAACCCCCGAGGGTTGACTCGCTGGTTCCTCGATATGCTTTGCTTCGCTTGTGCCTTAGTGTTTCGATACGACAAAGGCGCTTAGTGTCAGAATCCCAACCACTAGACCATTGGGATAAAAGGGCTTGTTTCAGTAGCGGGTCAGTGCGCCCATAACCCCCCGGGCGAACGCGCCTGTAACCCTCTCCAGGATCAATCGGGCATCCACAGTGCAGATCTACTGACACTTAGGACTGATTGTTTCCAACACTCCCCTTCGCTTCTGGAGTGTCGCTGACGTGGCCCTGTCCAGTCAGCAGCATGCAGTATTCGAACTTCTGCTTTCCGAGCTTCTTCGTCAAGTAGTCAGCTAACATCTCGGACGTGGGGCAGTATGACAGCTCGAGCCTTCCTTTCTCGATCTCGTCCTTCACGAAGAAATATCGCAGGGCGATGTGTTTCGTCCTGTTCGCGAAGCCGTTCTTGTTGGCGATGCGAATTGCTGATTGGTTGTCGCTGTATAGGGTAAAGTTGGGTAACTCGGGTAACTTCACTGCTTCCAGCAGCTCGCGAAGATAGAGTTCTTCCTTGGTGGCTGAGTAGAGAGCAATATATTCTCTTCAGCTGACGAGAGAGCAGTTAATTCTTGCTTGCTCGATTGCCAGGAGATAGGTCCGATAGGTTCGAGGCGGTAGATGTAGCCAGTGCGGGAGCGCCTATTGTCTGAGTCGCCAGCATGATCAGCGTCGACATAGCCGATTAACTTAGTCGGTGTGGTTGCGTTCTTGTAGTAAGTTAGGCCGATCGTTGAGGTGCTGACAAAGTAGTGTAGAGCGGGGTCGAGCTCCGCCAGATGTTCTACTTCAGGCTTCTTGAGGTAGGTGGCGAGCTGGCTTGCGGAGTAGGATAGATCTGGGCGGCAGGTGACAGCTGTGAAGAGAAGGCAGCCCAGCTTTCTCTGGTAGTCGTGTATGCCGGCGGACTTGAGTAGAGCGGAGCCTTCCTTGTTGTTTGCTGTCATGTAGCGGTACGGTGTGGAGATGATAGTCGGTGTGAGTGCGAAACGCTTGGCGATGGTGTCGGCGTATTTCGCGGCGCTGAGGTAGATAGCGTCTTCCTCTTCCCGGATGTTGAGGCCGAGGTACTGTGTGACGGTAGATGAGACCGTGAGTGTGAGGTCTTGCTGTAGCTCCCCTTCGAACCAGGTTGTAATGCCGTCAGTTGAGCCGATGTAGAGTAGATCGTCTACATAGACGATTAGCAGGATGTAGTCGGTACCCTTCGTGAGCCGGTACATGCCCTGGTCGTGCGGCAATTGCTTGAAGCCGATGCGAATGAGGCGAGCGTGTAGGTATTGTTGCCATAGTCGCGGAGCTTGCTTGATGCCGTAGAGCGACTTGAGTAGTTGACAGACGTGGTTCGAGTCCGTGCTGGAGCCGTGTGGTAGCTCGACGAAGATCTCTGCATCAACAGGTGCGTAGAGGAATGCGTTAGCGACGTCGATTTGCCGCAACTTCTTCTTCTTCTTGGTGGCGATTGCGAGAAGGATGCGTAGCGAGGTGTGTCGGCTGACCGGAGCGAATGTTTAGGTGAATTCGCGTCCGTGCTCTTGGTCGAAGCCGCGTACGACCCCGATGGTGCCGTCAGCCTTCTTCACACGGAAGACCCACTTCCCGGTGAGCACTGTCTTGTTCCGTGCCACGCCGATAGGAACCACTTTCCACGTGTTGCGTTCCTCCAGTGCCTTTAGTTCCTTGTCCATGGCTTCGCGCCATTTTTCCTTATGTTCCCCCCCCAGAGCCTGCTGAACCGTCGCAGGCTCTTTAGGAGTGGCGGAGCCGTGGACTGCGGTGACGAGCCCGAGAATCTGCAGTCCACTCTACGAGTAGCGGGGAAGATTTACGTCCTCGGGATAAGCTGCTTCATCTCCCGCTTCTTGATCAGGTATGAAGTTCGGTCCTATTCGTTCTGCTTCATTGGTGTTGACTGTCGCAGGTGTTACGTAACCATTGTTGGCGAAATGGTAGAAGGTTTCGGCGTTGGCCCCTTTGCGAGGGTTGTCTTCGTCCATGGGAACGTCGACGGAGCAGAACGGGAGAGGTCCGGCTTCTTCTGATGCGTTATCCACATTCTGCTCATCCCACTCAGCTTCGTCCGCTGCTGAGGCGAAGGCTCGGTCACCACAAAAACCACCTCTGGGATCTTCGTCTTCTTGCATGTTCGCACGGTATGTCTGGAGCGTGAGTCGTTCGTAGAAAATTACGTCACGTGCTGCTACTGTTTCCTTGGAGTGGACGTCGAAGATTTTCCACGCGTTGTAGTTCTTTTCGATTCCCAGGTGTAGTCCCCACTGTGCTTGTTGAGAAAATCGGCCCGCTCGTGCTGCTGGGGGTCGGTACTGTACCATGCATCCGAAAACTCGTAACATTTTTGTGCTGCCTTGTTTCCCTGTCCATAGCAGATATGGTGATGCGTTGTTTGGAAGCGATGATGACGACAGCAAGTTGCGCAGCATGACGGCGTGGTCCATTGCTGCAGGCCACTGGTGGTTGGGTAGCCGCATGCCACGTAACAGTTTGCGCATGCTGTTCTGCAAGGTCCTGTTCATTCTTTCTGCTACACCTTGCTGCTGATGCGCGTAGGGAAGGGAGATGAGCTGTTTGATTCCCCTTTCCGCCAGGTACTGCTTGAATTGCTAAGAGGTGTATTCCCCTCCTCCGTCTGACTGGAAGCTTTTCAGTTGCACGCCCGATTCTCTCTCTGCTACTGGTTGGGAAAACTAGAACGAGAATGAATGCACTATGAAAGAGTTGGGTATAAGTACTAACCCTAATTGGGTTGTACCCCATATGGGCTACCCCACTGCAGCCTACACAAAAGCATAAGCTATAATTTTCTGACACATCCCCATAGGCAAAGTGGGGGAGAACAAGGGGTCACAAGACCAGTCAAGCAAAGCAAAGCAAAGCAAGCTCAGGGTGGATCAATAAGTCACCACACATTCCGAGCACAAGGTCAAGGCCTAAAGGCCAGTTCACATGCAGGAGTACATATATATATAAAAGGCTAGAAAAGCAAGAGCAGGTGTGTATATATATGTAACAGTACAAGCAAGGTCAAGAGGTGAGCAAGCGAGGCAAGGCAGGCACAAGACCCAACTGAGTATAGAAGCGCTGATGATCACAAGGCGCAAGTGCCTTGGTAAAGATATCAGCAGTGTTGGCCTCAGAGGCCACGTACGCAAGACGCAGCTGACCATGCTGCTGCAGCTCACGAGCAAGGAAGTAGCGAAGAGCAATGTGCTTCGTTCTGTGCTCCAGTCTCTGCGCTCGACACAAGGCCAGCATGGCCTTGTTGTCTACGTACAGCACTGGAGGAGAACGAGGCGGCTCTCCGAGTGGGGTAGAATGCAGGTGTGGCGAATGCCATGGGTCGTGCAGTAGGAGGAAAGGGTGTGATTGAGAAACTCACCACCACCGTCAGAATGAAGACGGCGAATGGGTCGTCCCAAGTGAGTTGCAGCTTTAGTTGCCCATGCAATATTAGCAGCAGGGGTCTCGGCTTTGGTGCGGAGGAGGGAGACCGAGGAGTACCTGCTGTGGTCATCCACAAGGATGAGCAGGTATCGGTGACCCTGGCGGGAGGGGGTGGGGTTGGGACCCTAGAGGTCCATATGGACTAGGTCAAGTGGTGCGGGTGAAAAGGTGGGATGACTGGGATGAGGGTGTTGTTTAAGTTTGCTCTGGACACAGACTGTGCAGGGTGGGGCAAGGGAGGGAGGAAGTGGGGGGAGAGTGGGAGGGAGACCATGAAGGAGAGATGAAATGACAGCTTTGGGAAGGGTGACAAAGCTGGGATGACCAAGACAATGATGGAGAAGAATGGATGGGTGGGAGAGGTCATGACACAGACAGGAGGGAGAGGGGGATGGTGAAATAGGTGGAGGGGGAATAGTGGTGGAAAATACCTGAGGGGGGGGGAGAGCGAGGAGTGCGGAAGGTGTACGTACGAGTGGATGGACACATGGAGATACGAGAGAGGAAACGTCCGGAGGTGGAGTGAAAGAGATCACAGTGAGAGGCATGAGCAGGGAAGATAGTGGTGACACCAGCTTGTTGAAGTGCACCTTGGGAGACTAGGTTGTAATGGAGGGAGGGAATGTGAAGACCAGTGACAGTGCCTGATGGAAAAAGTGGACAAGGGAGTGTGGATGAGTGATGGCTTTGGACAATGAAGGTGGAGTGAGCTCCAAGGATGGTAGGGAGGGGTGTGAGTGTGTCAGCATCGCGAAGGACGTTGCGAGAGGCTCCACTGTCAAGGATAAATTCAATGGGAGGTAAGGAGGCAGAGTACTGGAAAGATATTGTGTTAATAGTATCAGCATACATGGAGGGATCACTAGGCATAGGGGACTGCATGCTCTGTCCTACGAAGGCGGAGAACGGGAATGGGGTAAAGCCCGGGGGGAGGGAGGGGGGGGGGGAATGTTCAGTGTCCGGAGGCGGGGCAGTCGAGGGTACAGACGGGGGGGGGAACCTGAGGGGTGTAAAACGGGTAGGGGGGGTATGGGGTGGGAGACCAGGGGGGCGGGGGGAAACCTGGAGGTGGAGATGGAGGGGGGTAAAAGCCGGAGGGGGAGGGTGAGGGAGTTGGGGAATGCAGCAGGTGATGAGCCTGGGGGGGAGCATGGGGAGGGGTAGAGGGGGGGAGTACCTGAGGGTTGGAGGATGAAGGGGGGTGGTAGGTGGGGGAGGTGCGAATGTCATGAGGGGTGAGGAGGGGGTGCAGGAGGTGCCAGCGAGGGGGAGTACCAGTGTTACACCGTTCAAACCATTCGTCACTTGGAGCCTTGAAGCAGGTGGCGGTGGCGTGGGTCGTCTGGAGGCAGTGTTGTCCTTGGAGAGAGCCGTAACGAATGAGGTACTGGCACGGAGGGAGGGTGCCGGTTCCAGCAGCGCCACCACGACCACCACCTCGACCACCACTTCCAGGGGGGCGAGAACCAAAGCGACCACCGCTGCGTCCCGGAAAACTGCTTTGTCCGGTAGCGCGCCCTCCCCCATAGCCACCACTGAAGCCACCACGACCGCCACTTCCTCCACGAGCAAGCGCAACAGTAGAGAGAGAGGTGTGGAGGAGATCTGCTTCCGCGTCAAGTAGCCAAGTGATGATGTCGGAGGAGGAGGGAGTCTCGGGGCGGGTGGTGATGAAGGCAATCTTGTAAGTGGTGTAGGCGGGAGGAAGTCCATCGAGGATGCGAGCCATGAGAAGGGAATCAGTGATGGTGATGCCGCGATCAGTGAGGCGGCGAGCAGTATCAGTAAGGCGACGAGTAAATGTGGCAGCATTGGGAGAGGAGTCAAGGGAGAGAGCTTGGAATTCGCGGTAGAGGGAGAGGAGGGAGTTGATGTCCTGTCGGTCAAAGCGAGTGGTGAGGTCCTTTCAAAGTGTTGCAGAGGTGGTGGGACGGATCTCACGTTTGAGAGAGGTATGGATGGAGGCGAGGATGATGTTGAGCGCCCTGAGATCAGCAATGCGCCATGCAGAGGAGTTGAGGCAGTATGTGCGGTCATCCTCCATGTGCTTGGCGCGCAGGGTCTGGTATTCAATATCGGCGACTCGAGCGACTTCATGGGCAGCAAATGCCGCATTCCAGGTGGCTTGGTCAAGAACGTAAGCAGCATGCTCCCGAGTGTAATCGCAGAGGATGCGAGCCCAACGTTGGGGGGCATCATTGTGAACGGGTAGTTCCGGGGCAACAGGCGGTGGGCCTGGAGGAAGGGGCGGTTCACCAAGAGGGGGTGGAGGGGGGGCTGCGGGAGGAGAGGGAGCAACTCCGAAAGGAGTGTCGAGAACGAGATCAAGGAGATTATAGTTATGGATTGTGGTGGAGCCGAGAAGAATGTGCATACTTTCGGAAAACAAAGTCCAGTTCACCGGGGTGGTATCGTTAATGAGTTCGAGACGATCAATGGAACTTATGTCAGTCGGCATGGTGTCGGTAGCCATGATGAAGAGGGGGGGGGGGGGGGAGAAGGCAGCCACAGGAGGAGGGAGGATGAGAAAAATGAAGGATGGTGAGAATGAGGGGGGAGGGGAGGGATCAGCCACAAGAGGAGGAATGGGTGGGGATACGATGAGGTGATGTGAAGGGGAAAACATCGGCAGGAGGAGGAAGAATAAGGAGTGAGGGTGATGGAGTTGATGGTGAGGGTGGAGGAAAGAGGGAGAGAGAGCAGCCACAGGAGGAGGGTGGGAAGTGGGGAGAGGAAAGGAGGGAGGGAAGGGAGGGAAGAGGGCTTGCAAGAGCGATTGCGTGATCAGTAAACAGCGGGTCACGGGCGCCACGGGTAGTACGGAAGCGTGGGTCACAGTCAGCGGGAGGAGCGGGTCAGGGCGGAGGTGGCGCTGGTTGCAGGAGGAGGTGGAGCTGGTCGTGGGCATTGCAGGCAGCAGGTCACGGGCGTCAAATCCGCGAGAGCCGTGGGCAGGAGGAGGAAGGGGGGGGGGGGAGGGGGCAGCAGATGTCGCGAGGTCGCGGATGTCGCGAGCAGGAGGCGACGTGGGCCCGTGGTGCGTCGAGGGCGGCACGAGCGTCGAGGGTCGCGGGTCTAGGGGGTCGAGGGCGACGAGGGGCGTTCGTCGCAGGGGTCGCGACCCGCGTCGTTGGTTAGCAGGGGCAGCGGGTCGTGGATGTCGGGGGCATGCGCGATGGGCGGCGCCGGTCGAGGGTGTCGTGAGGAGCGAACGGGAGGAGACGGGGGTTGCGGAGGGCGAGCACTGGGGGCCGTGGGCGTCGCGAGTAGGGGGCGCTAAGGGTTGTGGGCGTTGCGAGTGGCGAGCGCCGTGGGCGTCGCGGGAAGTACGCCAATGGCCGTGGCCGTCGCGGGCTGGGGGCGCCAAGGGATGGGGCGCCGTGGGCGTCGCGAAGCAGGAGGCGCCAAGGGACGCGGGCGGCGCGGGCAGCGCGCCAAGGGCCGTGGGCGTCGCGAGCAGGGGGCGCCAAGGGACGGGGCGCCGTGGGTGTCGCGAGCAGGATGCGCCTGTTAGAAACTAAGGACGAGGTCTACGAAGATTAAAGTGCCTAAATTTCTCAAAATCGTTGGCTTAGAATTCTGGACAGAATTGTTGACTTCACAAGAAACGTCGTCGACGAAACTTTCACTGCCAAAACTTCACCAAACCCAGATATGTTGTAGCCCTAGTCTGTGGATACAATTCCCAATTTGAATTGTACAATAAGGTGAAGTATTTCATGAGTTATGAATTTCGGCGCACTAGGGGGTAAGCTGCCATAGAATCTTAACTCAATCACAATTGTCTCACAAGTACACAATAGAATTAGGGTAGCTAGAAACCAGGTAGGAGGAGATGATGAGGACGAGAGGGAAGGTCCCAAGGGAGTCCCCAACCAAAGAAACCCCATGCCACGCAATTCCCCTCTCTCTAGGCAACCCCAACTTTGACCTTTGTCACTTTCCCAACCTCCACAATCCACCTCACCCAAGTTGGCCACACTTGCCAACCTGGTTTGGCTTCTCCCAACCAATTGGCAGCATCTACAGTGATGGGGACGAATTTCCCAACCCCCAAAAGTCTGTACCCCATATTGAGTCAACCCGCAAAATTCCATAGTCGCCGCACCACAACCATAACTTCGAACAATCACAACTTTCTCGTTCGTGCTCCGATTGAAGCGATCCTTGGCTCGTCGGAAAGCTCTTGAGCAAAGGATGTGAAAAATAGAATGAGAATGAATGCACTATGAAAGAGTTGGGTACAAATAGCAAAACCCTAATTGGGTTGTACCCCCTATGGGATACCCCACTGTAGCCTACACAACAGCATAAGCTACATATATGTTCTGACACACCCCCATAGGCAAAGTGGGGGAGAAAAAGAGGTCACAAGACCAATCAAGCAAAGCAAAGCAAAGCTCAGGGTGGATCACAAAGTCACCACACAGTCCGAGCACAAGAGCAAGGCCACAAGGCCAGTTCACATGCAGTAGTACACACATATATATATAAAGCTAGACAAGCAAGAGCAGGTATATATATGTGACAGTAGAAGTAAAGTCAAGAGGAGAGCAAGTGAGGCAAGACAGGCACAAGACCCAGCTGGGTGCAGAAGCGCTGATGGTCACAAGGCGCGAGTGCCTTGGTGAACGCATCAACAGTGTTGGCCTCAGAGGCCACGTACGCAAGCCGCAACTGTCCACGCTGCTGTAGCTCACGAGCAAGGAAGTAGCGAAGAGCAATATGCTTCGTTCAGTGCTCCAGACGCTGCTCTCGACACAAGGCCAGCATGGCCTTGTTGTCTACGTACAGCACTGGAGGAGAACGAGGCGGCTCTCCAAGGTCAGTCAGCAGGTAGGTGAGCCAGCGAAGCTCCTGTGCAACCATGGCCCCTGCGTAGATCTCAGCCTCACAACTCGAGCTGAGAACCGAAGACGAGCGAGTAGCCCGCCACGAGACAGAGCCGGAGCCAAGGCTGAAGGTGTAACCCTCTGACAACCGCTGCGTAGCCTGGTCGTCAGCCCAAAGAGCGTCCGCGTGACCTGTAAGTACCACTAGACTCCGCCCTCCAAGCACTAGCCCCATGCCCGACGTACTGCACAGGTAGCGCAATACCCTCTTCGCTGCAGCCATGTGCTTTGGTTGGTGTCTCCCAGGAGCAACATAGCGTGCAAGAATGCTAAGAGGGTATGCAAGGTCAGGTCGTGTGCAGGTCATCAGGTACATGAGGCAACCAACAAGCTCTGGGTACGGGCCACTCGACTCTACGGACTCATCCGAAGGCAGAGCTGAGAGCGAGTGACGAGTAGACAGAGAAGTGGCCTGAGGCGAGGAGTACGTGAAGCCGAAGCGCTGAGTCAAGGTAATGGTGCGGCGTGCTCTGTCCCGAGTGATCTGCAAGCCAAGGTAGCTGCGCAGTTCACTCAGGTCTGTGCACGTGTGTCTCTTCAGCAGCTCGGACTTCACGTAGGCGAGTCCAGCAGTGTCCGCTGTGGCAAAGACCAAGTCGTCGACGTACACGAGGATGTAGAACGGCGGCAGTAAAGTGTCGGTGTGCAGAAACAACGACGCGGCAGCAGTAGAAGGAGCAAACCCAAGGGCCGCAAGCGTAGTCCTCAGTGTGTCGTGCCACTCACGTGGTGCCTGGCGGAGACCGTAGACTGGCCGTCGGAGGCTCCACTGGGTGCCAGGAGGGAAAGTCCCAGTGAAGCCAGGTGGACAGCGCAGCCAGATCTCCTCGTGCAGGCTCCCCTGCAAGAACGCAGTACTGAAGTCGAGAGAGTGAAGCTCGTAGTCGCGCTGAGCGGCTATGTGCAGCAGCACCCGAAGAGTGGTCATCTTCGGGGTGGGAGAGAAGGTCTGAAAGTAATCAACTCCCTGCCGCTGACTGAAGCCACGAGCCACGTACCGCGTCTTGAAGACAGGTGGAGAGCCCGGCGGCCACTTCACCCTGAAGATCCACATGCCACTGACGATGTTCGCCCCAGGAGGGGGAACCGCGTCAACGTAGGTGCTAGTGGAATTCCAGGAAGCCATCTCTGCATCCATAGCTGCCTGCCACTGAGAGTCGACCTCTACGGACCCTCTACGGCCTCCGCGTAAGAGCGTGGAGTCGGGATGTCTAGTGCATGCGGGTCTCCCTCAGGAGAAAGCAGTACAGACGCGAGATGAGGTGAAGCAGCAGCCTGACACTGGAACTCCTCCTGCCTGTCCTCTAGGACGTCCGTGCCAAGAGCACACTCACCCCCGACGGACGGAGGACAGACAGACGCAGACTCACCAACAAGACTAGCAGCGTAGTCTAGACGACAGCGAGCAGCAAAGTCGACGAGCTCAGCGACAAGAGCAGACGCTGCAGCGGACTCAAAAGAGGGGTCAGTGACGACAGTAGCAAGCAGACGCGTGACAGTAGGACTGGCAGCACGAAGGGAGTCCGACTCTGGGTCGGTAAGCACAGGAAGGGAGGACTCAAGAGGAGAAGGCAAAAGGGCACGCAGAGGAGCAGTGGACGGACGCAGAGACATCCGGTGCGTGCCAGGGACACGAGGAGGACGCGGACGCGAACCACGACCACTAGCGCGGGCTGCACGAGCAGGCGACGCGGGACGAGACGCAGGCTCACGACGCTCAGTAAGACCTCCAGTAGGACCAGTGTAAGGAGAGGGAGCAGGCAGTGGGGAGGTAGGCTCCAACAGTGACTGCGACTGGACAGGCTGTGAACACCCTACCGGAGGAGAAAGACCAAGAACCTGCTGCAGAAGCGGAACGAAGTACGGCCGAGGCCGCGCGGCAGCTCCAGACTCAGCAGGGACAGCACCAGCACCCTCAGCGGCAGCACCAGCGCCACCAACACCTCCAGCGGCAGTACCTCCTGCAGCACCAGCAGCAGAACCACCGTCAGGACAGACCGCAGCATACTCAGCACCAACGCCCTTAGCAGCCCCAGCTCCAGTAGGACCCGCAGGCATAGCACCTCCGGGACCGGCGGCACCAGCACCCTCGACGGTCGGAGAAGCTCCAGCTCCAGCAGTACGCCTCCAGCGGCGAGCAAACCACTCGCGCAGCTCCTGTGGAGAGAGGGGCTCCCGCCGAGACGCAGCACCAGGAGAAACCCCAGGCTCAGTGGCTCCAGACGTAGCACCCCCAGGCTCAGCAGCTCCAGACGTAGCACCCCCAGGCTCAGCAGCTCCAGACTCAGCACCCCCAGGCTCATCAGCTCCAGACTCACCACCCCCAGGCTCAGCAGCTCCAGCTCCAGTAGGACCCGCAGGCCCAGCAGCTCCGGGACCGGCAGCACCAGCACCCTCAGCAGTCGAAGGAGCTCCCGCTCCAGCAGCACGCCTCCAGCGGCGAGCAAACCACTCGCGCAGCTCCTGTGGAGAGAGCGGCTCCCGCCAAGACAGAGCAACCGGAGAGCCCCCAGGTCCAGCAGTCGCCGGCTCTGCACCTCCAGGCTCAGCACCCGCAGGCTCAACAGCTCCTGACGTAGCACCCCCCGGCTCACTACCCCCAGCAGCAGCACCCCCAAGCTCAGCACCCCCAGCAGCAGCACCCCCAGACCCTGCATCCGCAACAGGACCAGACTCAGCAGCAACCTCGACTGGCTCGACTGTGTCTACTTGGGACACACCTGAAGGGGCAGGAACCTGAGGGGGGAGGGGGTCTACCGGGGGGGGAACTGGCACCAGGAAGTCCGGTGGGGGGGGGAGGGAAGGAGTACGGTAGGGGAAGAGGCGGTAGAAGGGGACTGACTCGTCGAACGTGACGTCCTGGGAGGACAAAACACGACGAGAGGAGGGGTGGTAGAACTGCCACCCTGGAGCGTCTGGGGGGAAGCCAAGGAAGACACAGGGAGCAGCACGGGGGGACAGCTTGTCCGCAGACAAGTCGCGAACAAACGCCCGAGATCCCTAGACACGGAACGCA